GTTAAGAGTCCGGTGCAGTGTGAGCTGATGTAGATCTGCCGATGAAGAGTCTGAGCTGGAAGGAAATCACTGAGGTTTAATTTCTAATATTTTAATGTTCGTTTGGAGCCTGAGTAACTGGATCAGCAGGGGTGTGAAATGTCCACGTTGAATTTTATTGTGTAATAATTAATGCTGCACTAGTTCAATTTGATGACCAGGATTTGTTGTTAGAACATGCATCTGCAAAGACTTCAGCAGGAATCGGCGGGCTTGGAGAACGACACAATAAACGGAGAGTCTCCACGGCTTTAAAAACAATTCATGTTAAACTGAATCTTCACATCAGGGCTGGTTTTTAGATCCAGATAGAAAAAGCATTTTTATTCACTGGCTTTTGACTCAGTGGTTGACTGACTTGTATTTACTTATATTTTATTGTTTTTGCTATGTTTGTTATTTTATCGTATTTATTATTCTTATGGTATCTATTATGTTTCTATCGTTCAGCACTTTGGTGTGTTTTTAAAGCGCTATATAAACGATGATGAAACTGCAGAAGTCCTCTGTATCTCACATGACCGTCACACATAAGAACCAGGAAGTAAAAGCTGAATATTTGAGATAAATTAATATGAAGGTAAATACACATTGATTAAATACACTAACAAATAAACAGGTTTAATATTTATTGTACAGTGGTGAGAAGGACCGAGACTGAATCCATATTTTTCTACATCCTTCATCTATTTAACATTTCATTCAATTTAGTTTCATTATTTATCGCACCAAATCACAGCAACAGTCGCCTCACGGCACTTTATATTGTAAGATAAAGACTCAGTAACACAACAGCTGGATCCAGTCGTCGGCTCCTGCCCCGCCCACATTTCAGCCATTCAGAACTTTAAACCAGAAAATGAGCAAAGAAGCAAAGAAATGAATAAATGATCTTTATTGTCAGAGTTAAAAGTGCACTGTCGCACAAACACGTCTGGTTTGAGGGCCAGATTGAATTGATCCTTCTACATCAGTGTCTCTACAGTAAATCTGAACTCAAAGTCAGAAACACCTTTATAATCAGTTTCAGCCTCATTAAAACAGAAACTGTCTGCAGCAGTTTTCAAAAGACACAGAAATGACTTTAAATCTGAACATGAAGAGTGGAGCCAAAAAACCAAAGCACTACACAACAAACCTTTAAATAATGTTAAAGGATTTTTTAAACTTTTAATATCAGGATCATTTCTGTGGTTCTGCATTTTAACAGGATGCTAGCTTCAAATTATTTGTCACCAAGTCTTTATTCTGTCCTCAGATCTGATGTTAACATCTGAAGTCCACTGGTGTCTAAAAACTCTCACTATTGGTTTAGACGTTGGATTTATTTATTTCTGAATCTGACCGAAACCACGTGTTTACAAGCAGTTACAAAGGTAATAACTCAAAGTGATTCTGCAGCACTGCAGGTTTGTGCCGCATTTATCTCGCTTTAGGTCACCGGTTTGTTTTTTCAGCTATGCCCTGAACAAAAGCACAAAATCTGGAATCTAAACAGATATTTGTTTCCTCAGGAGCTGAAGGAGACCGAGCAGAAGATTAAATAGAGATGATGGATGAAAACATCCTGCAGTGACGTAAAATACACCTGAAGGTTAAACATGCACAACCACAGGTATGCGCCTTTAAATCTTTTTCTAGCACAAACTCAAACTCCCAGCATTCTTTGTTTCACCCTCTTTCACTCTCTCTCCTCTATTTCTCTTTGGGCGCCATGTCGTCACCACCGGAAACGTTGCCTTCCTCGTCGTCATCATCGCCGATGATCCCCTTCAGGTAGGAGCGCTTGAATTCCTCGAACACAATCTCCTCCTCCTGCTCACTACAGACAGCAGCAGCGTTTCAGAGAAAGTTAGTGTAAAAGCAGCACATCAGCTTCATCACATCATCACATTTTGACAAATTCATTAGAGAAAGAAGGACACAGAAAAACAGAGAGCCTGTGCTTTAACAATGGCCTTGTTTGGAGCAGTGGCTGCTGCCTCCGTGCAGAGGTATGTATGGACACGGACTCGGAACCAGCAGTGGTGGGATTGGGATGTGAGAGGCTTCAATGACACGGAGTTCATCCACCATTTCAGGATCTCGAGACAAACACGCCGCCATGCTTTCTCGTTTGTCTTCTCCGGGGCTGATAATTGGCGTCTGTCTTGTGTCAGTGATGTAAAAGACGGATTTAATGCAACATGTCCATCAAACAGCAGTCGCTTTCTGAAACCTCAGATATGTATCGGATTCAGTGTCACATATGAAAGTGACCCAGGTCGGATTTGAAAATATCGGATTTGTGCCGTTCACACCGTCACACCATGATGGGATATGGGTCGCACAGGGTCAGAAAAGTCGCCTGCAGTGTGAACTAAGACTTCAGCTGAGCATCCACAGAGCAACACTTTGATGTATTTCCCGTTTCTTCTTTGTCATGTTTGGCCTTGTGTCAACCGATGGAGCCCAGGTCCACCTCACAATCGCTGTATGTCAGGTTTGAGGCGGCATCTGAGCCACAAACAGCCCACACAACATCTGCTAGAGCTGCAGCTGAACTGACGCAGCCCAGATGTGTCTGACCTCAGACCACATCAGCACGACTCTTAGTAAACTTTTACTGTCTTTACCTGCTAGTCACATATACTAGACTGTGTGAAGGAGATTTTCTCCCGCTTTACGCTGTGACCCATTCATCCACAATAATGAAACATGCTGAGATTCATCCTAAAAAGGAGAAAGAGATGTTTTTTAGCAGTATTTTTCCTGAGTCTTCATCTCTTCAGCACTGAGGGAATCAGAAGAATTAGAAATTATTTCAGGAAAAAAGTTAAAAAGCTTGGAGAACGTGAACGTGAAGGACTTGATTGGCAGTTTCGGTGGGTACAACTTTCTAACTTTCGCCTTGTTTTCAGTTTTAAACTTGTCCACATTTTATCACTGGTTTGCTGTGACAATGGAGGGAACTTAAAAACCCTGAACCTGTTTTTTTACATTAACAGTAAAACAAAATACTTTTTAGTGTTTGTTTGGCGTTTTTTGTCCTCCTCCAACCACATACTGTAAAAAGTATTAGATTACTGCCATCCTGACAGAGCTTTAAGGTGGTATTTTCAGTTTCTTCACATGTTCTGCTGTGAATAAACCAGGAAACGTGTCAGGGAGGCCACACAGAGCTTCCAACCAGCTGTGTTAGCTTTTTGTTTCCAAGCGTGATGTTACGTCGATGTTGCGTGTCCAAATGAGGCCCGTATCGTGCTTCAGAACATCACGTGACCGAAGATAAACGAGGCCCCGTTTGCCTTAAATGACGTGACTGCCTGTGATTGAAAAGATTCTCTCAGAGAGGATGTTCAGTTAGCTGTCTTCGACTAGGAGTCCTCATTATCTTCCATTTTTGTTTCTAATCTGATGAACTTTTTCTTAGCTGGACTTTTCTTCGGTTTTAATCTGCTCTGTAACTCTGGTAATCTGATCGACTGATGTGAAGGAAAAGATGGAAATAAAAAGACGGGATTGACCTCTCAGCCATTTCTCACACTGTGGAGGAAAGAGGACACAAAGACACCGAACACTGAAGAACAAACAAAGGGAAGCTGATACTGCTGATGAGGACAGGAGCTGGCAGAGAGGAAGCCCTTAAAAATGCTGATGAAGAGATAAAGATCCTGAAACTCAATCCTGCCCCTGGATAAAAGGAACAAAAGCAACATCGGGCACAATAAGCACGACGATGTTCGTCCTCAGCTAATCTGCTGCCTCTGACTCGATCATGTTCACTACTTCAGTCTCTTCCAACCAACACGGCGCATAATCACTGGAACAATTCAGGGTGTCTTCCACGGGGATAAAATCATTGTTTATATTCTTTATTTAATTTAATTATTTTTCAGTTGTTAATATTCTTGCAGTAGGTACTCATGCAAGTGTTTCCAGCAGAGCTATCGACATGTTGTGGATTACGCACCAGTGCTGTGTCGATGGAAAACATGTTTCAAAGTTACACAAGACCAGATAAACAGAAATTATTTTGCATATTTACCTCTCCTTCACTGATGGCAGCAATAAAGAAAAAACAAACAAAGAAGTTTGAACAAATTTCTACAAAATGAACACAGCTTTGTTTTCTCTGAGCGTCTCTCCTAAACCTCACACGGACCAATTTCAGATCTTCTCTGGCCCAACCAAACCTTCAATTTAAACCCTTTGTTATCTGGTAGCCACCTTAGTCAAATCTTTAATGTTGACATTTAAGACTTGACTAATTTATTTGATCTGTTTTCACTTGAAATCGGTTTACTATGAAAATAAACTGCAGTTCTCTTAAGACCCAACAGAGGGCGTTACCTCCCACTTTGAGAACCACTGAGGATTCAGGAAATCTTTTCCTTTCATGCTGAGTTACTCACGCTGGAAAATTTTACATTTCTTTAACTGGTTTTTTTTTTGCAACTTAATTTCTTTTAATACATATAAAACTGTATATAAGCATATGTGTTATACTGATATAATATTGTCTATATAATGATCTGGTTTGACTTTGGTACAGATGTGCACAGCTGCTGTAAACATGAGGACATTTGCAGTTTTACCTGCATCTGGCTTGGCGTGCATCAGTTTGAAGGGAACTTCCAGACCGACCTCGCTGCAGAGTAAAAGCAGAACAAACATTTCTGTCTCATCATTTAATGTCTGATTCATCCTGCAGCAGTTTGCTGAGTGTCTTCAGCTCATGTTGAGCAATACTGCTGATCCTAGAAACTGAACATCGTAGTAACTATCAGTGAAAACAAGGACACATGAACTCACCTCGACCCCATCATCCTGTGAGCGTGTTGGAGACAAAGATCAGAACAAGTAGAAACACGTTTACATGCAGTGACAACAAGGACAGGACGTTTGAACACGAGTACATTCAGTTTCAGTGCTTTTCATTCCTCTACGCACATTTTTAGGATACTCAGGTCACAGGTTGGCTCAGATTTATCAGAGTAACATGAAGAAAATTGGAGCTCTTAAGCAGCAGTGAGCACCACAACGAATCAAAGCAAATCAAAGCCAATAGATGATGAGAGCAACACTGGCTCTGCCCGCTCATCATCTGCTTGCTTTTTATCTCATCCTCAGAAAGAAATGCAAAAAACTTTTCAGGATACTAAAAGAAATGAAGCCACATTTCAAACACATGAAGAGGAGAGACTGACCCTCCAACGATGAGCTTCACCATGACTCTGTACGAGACCATGATCCCCAGAACCTCCTTCAGCACGCCGTCTTTGACACTGAAACGGAAAAAACGATTGAAAGCTTCTTTTTTTAAATCCTAACTGAGCATCAGCGTTTGGAGCTGACTGACTGCTCACATGCTCGAGGAGGCCAGGTTGGTGTCTTCATGCTTCAGTTTGCCATCCAGAGCGATGCCCCTCCTCTCGCTGTTGTTGGCCAGCAGAGGCAGCATCGTGTAGACTTTCTGCAGCGTCGCTCCAGGAGACACCGAGTCCCTGACGAGAAAGAGCAGATAAGCTTTAAAGGAAACACACAAAATAATCAAAAGGTTAAAATATCAGCAAAATTTAATGTTACATTTTTTACAAAATTCTGAGAAGTCCTGTTAATTTACTTTAAAAGATCAGAACTATAAGGCACAATGAACCTGAAGGTGTCTAACAATATGATGAAAAGCACAATAAACAATTTGATCCTTGTTCATTCGAATCGATTCTGATTAAAAGTGGATTGCAATGGTTCAGATCAAACAATTAAAGGAAGCGTCTGTATTTTCTGTCTACTTTGTTCAAATTTATCCTAAAAAGAATAAAAGGATAAAAATAATATTTCAATATCTAATGATTAACCTGCTCGTGTGGAAGTCAGTTTTTCTTTTTGGGAGCAACAAAAAAGATAAACTGCACGATACAGGTAAGATGATGAGTTCAGTGTGTCCTGACTTTTACCCAGAATCCTCGATATCCACACATTTGGCATAGCTGTCATTGGAGTACAAAACCACGTTGGCAATCTGGTCAACTGGGAAAGACAAGACACAAAAAGACATGATGTTTAAGACATCAACTCTGATGTGTTTCCACATGAACCTCTGCGAAATAAAATGAGCTCTTAAGTGTCGCGTTTACCGGAGAGGATGATGTTCTTGATGTTCTTGCTGGAGTTGTTTGTGACGCTAACGTGAACTTTGATGGGCTCACCGTGATAGTAAACCTGAAACAGGACACAGGGTCGGAGGACGTGAGCAGTGTCAGGATTATTCCCTGAAACTGATCAAAAACTAGTTGAAAAGGGAAAAAAGTCACAGAAACAACAATGAAAACCCGCCAAACCCTTCATGTTCGAGTAGCAGATAAAAACACGCCAAAGCTATGAAGTATCTGATCAACTGAAGCTTCAGACTTTGGACCCACCTCTTTGTCCAAACTGGCCTTGACGTGCAGCGGTTTGTCCGACATGACAAAGTCCCTGGTGGTCTCGACAGAGGGCGCTATCCCCTCGCCCTCCGGAGCGTACTGCACCTTCCTGAGCATCAGCTTCACTGTGCTCCTGTTGTACCAAAGAGGACAAAATCATCCACATTAGATATTGTTCACTTCCAGCTGTGTTCCCGGCTCCTACCGTCCGATCGGGCCCGCTGACACTCACCGTTTGCGTACTTTGGCGTCCTGGCTCTCAGCGCTGAACGCCTTAATCTCAAACTCCACAGCACATTGCTGCAGAAGAGGAGAGACGAGAATGCTTCACCAGCCTGTGAGGCATTCGTGTCATCACTGCTGACTCATGAGTTTGAATCTTACCTTTCCGACATCACTGGGTGCTGGCTGCAGGGCCACTGAGCACGGCAGGTTATCGGGGAACTGCAAAGAAGAAGAACAAACGTATGACTGTATGGAGACTGAGACAGAACCAATCATTTCCTCTTATGTGCCAGCATGTTAACGTCTGTCTGTGATCCATGAACCAGTCACTTGTCCTTAACGGTTACAGTGATGATGTCACCACACTGGGCCTTAACGTTCAGCTCAGGTAGCAGAACGTCGAGCTGTCTCAGTTATTCTTATTCTTTCTGCCACAAAATCTCACCACACACCTGAGATTTGGTAAAAACATGACTTTAACCCAACACGCATGCATCTGAATGTCTATCTGATTTTCTCCTAAGGCTGTAGTTCCTGTCCGTGTTGCACTGTGTGCTTAAAAGGATTTTTTTGTCTTCATCTCATCCATCTCTGAGTACTTTTCCCTGCTTACTTCAGCAGATTTAAAATCAGGACTTTGGCTGTTTGCAGTTTAATTCTATTTGAAGTTTCTGCCTGTCTGCAGTGCCGCTGAAGTGTCACCTCGAAGAAGAACGGGTATGAGTTGTTTCCCAGCTTGCGCAGGAGCTTGGCCTGGACTCTGGTGTGGATACCCTTCTCGCGGTCCTGCAGGGGCGGGTACACCTGCCGGGTGGCCAGGTACAGCTCCCTGCGGAAGGCGATTCCCATCACATCCATGTCATCTCTGCCGTAGCGGAAGGTGCACGACAGCGTGACGAACACTAGAGGGCAGAAGAGACAAATCAGTTCAAAACTCTCCTTTATATTTTTATATTTATATGACTGGAATCTCTTTGAATCCGAGTCCAAACAGTCAGGTAGGCAGCGATTTCGTTATTTTCATATTTAACCAAAAAACAATGAGAAGCAACTTTTCAAAGACCCGTCAGGCTGAGTATCAGGAAACTGCAGCTAAAATAATGAATCTAAATGTAACTCTTTTAATCCAGTGTGGCTGTGGCCATGGACATATATGCAAAAGAAACTGTCCAATAAAATGAGCTCTGGTGTTTTGTACAGACCTTTCCTCCCCTGCAGGGCCTCCGGGTCAATGAGGATGACGCCATCTAGTGGTAAAAATTAGATTTTCAATAAAACAAATTTACACTTTCATGTAAAAGGATGATCAAAATATTCAAACAGCAACGTAAAGACATAAATAGATGCAATAAAGTCTCGATCCATATGCTAACATAGCTGGACATTATAAATGCCATTTATTTTAATTTGTGCTGGTTATTTACTTTGATTATTAGTTTGATTTACCAGAAGTCCAGCTGTCATGTTTCTATTCTCAACTTTGAGTTCAGTAAATTACACAGAAAATTCAACTGAACAAAAAAAAACCCAAACAAGCCAAAGGCTCTGCACCATCAGTGCTGGGGTCCGCGCTACATCACAGGCAATGTCGAGGTTTTTCCCCCATTTAAACAACAGACTCACCCAGTGGTTCCACAGAATCAACACGGTCCACAAAGTCTCTTTTCCCCATGTAGACTCCAACCTGAAGGAGGAAAGAAAGTCTTGAAACACCACATCCAGGAAGCATCACCGGCTGATGCTAAACACACCTCAGTTTGTCTGCTCCAATTTGCTTAATGACCGAGGTCTACAATGACCGTGATCTGAGTGCAGACACCTGCAGCTCAGGTGGGACATAGCTCAACTAATAAATCCGAGTCGGCATCACAACAGGTCTGATATCTGATCCTCCTGAAGAACAGACGAATGCAGAAAGTACACGTGGGCTGGTTGCAGGGACTCCCACACACTCGAAAGAAGTTAGAGGCGAGGTCAGAGGAAACATATCAGTCAAGAAACTTTCAGCTGATAATTCTAAAGTGAATTCAGCCTTTCAGCAGAAACTGTGTGATGAGACTGACCAGCTGATGACATATTCATTGTTTCTGTTGTTTAGTTGTTGTTTATTTAGAATAACTGAACAAGAATATTGTTTTAAAAAGGAAAATAATGAAAAAAATTTAGAAAAAAAGGTTTACATTAAAAACTCGATAATATTCAGACTGATGTGAAACAGACAAACTGCAAACGCTAAAGCGATGGAAGCATTTTGGTAAATATGAAGTTAACATATAATGAATAATTCATTCTTTGTTATTATTTATTCAGATTCATATCTTTTCTAAGAATTCATAAAAGACAAAGCGCTCTCCAGCAGTGTCACCTGAGCGTTAGCATTTCCGACAGGCATGATGTTTTTGTTATCCAGGTGTTCCCAGCCTGTGGGAGAAGTCCTCATGTCACACTGACAGAGCTCAGCACAGGCTGTACTGAGGTCAGACATGTGCTCGATAAACAGAGCGAAGCCCTCGCTGCAATAAAGCCATCATAAATCAGCTCACGTTGTCGTGTCGACCTTCAGAGGATCAGTGAGCTGAGCTGCTTCACAGAATTAAAGTTACTTTCATTGAAGCGCTGGAGAGAGAGAAGGGCGTCGGAAATGATGTCTTCTATACACAGAAGCAGCAGCATTAAGAGTTATATTTCCACTCCAACCACAGCCTGCTTCTTCACTGGGACATCCTCGTTGTGCTGGTCAGTGTAGTGTGATTACACAGGATATTACTGCTGGTGGTAGAATGCCACTGTGGCAGTTAGATTTAGGCCTGTGCCACAATTTAACCATAAAGCCGTGACTACATACAAATGACATCACTTGTCTTTTGTTGCTGATGATTGGTTCCAGGCTTCAGCCAATAAAAAGAATTCTTTGCTTGCCACTTCCACGCTCACCTCAAAGCTGAGACTTGTTACTATTTATACATTTGAAGTTTCGTTTTAACTGTTTGCTTTGTTAGATTTAAGAATCTCAGCTATTAGGGTTGGGCTTATTGCAACATCGGGCTTTGGATTAATGCCCTGAGGCCGTCACCGGTGACGAGCCTAACACTGACAATACGACACATTCAGACAGGTTTAAGGCTCAGAGAACCTTTGATGATAGATCTCACAGTGAGGCAATGAGGCAACCTTTAAATGATTCAGGTTCACCTCCACCTGTTTCCCAAATTAAAAATCTCTTAACAGAAATTCTATAATGGCAAAAACAAGCGTATGAGACGATTCTGGCTTCTGTAAATGTGTCTCTTTGTCATGTGGCTAAAACAAAAACAAAAGTGTAGATGCACAGAGTTGAAAAGAAAAGGACGAGGAAGAAGCAAAAGAAAAAGAAAAGTCTTGAAAATGAAGCTTTTCATTGATAAATATCAGAGAATGCAGTTTAGTTGTATGACAACATGAATAAACATGACTGTCAGCTCCTTTCAGTCTGGAAAATCCTTTCAGGAAAACACTCACGGTTCTAATTTTACTGAGAAAACTCAACCAGCTCACCGACTTGTCCTTGCAAACCTTCTTGAAAATCACATTTTTGGGGCTCATCTTGGTTCAGACTGAAGGAGGCTGGTCCGCGGTGCCTGACAGAAAGAAGGGAATAACTTGACTGACAAAGCGTGCGACATCACAGCAACGTCTAAAAACTCAGAATGTTTGAAAACAAATTCCACATTTTCACCTCCATTCTGTCTAATTCCTGATTTACTCAACAAAATAAGAAAAAGTCAAGTTGATGGTGAACTAAAAATCTGTAAAACCTTTTCTTGCCAACCAAATATTGTCTTTGCCCTCCATGTGTGAGCTACGAACACACCTCAGTTATATCTTTCACTAAAAAAAGCCAGTTTCCATAAAAATCGCCAGTGAGAAACATTTTCACTGATTGAAAATAGAAGTAGTCAGTAGTTCCTGTGACACTGCTAGAAACGTGTAACCAGGAGAGATTTGGACACCAAAGATGAAGAAAACAGGAAGTTAATCAGGGAGAAATATGAGTCAGTTTGTCACAATGTACATGTGGACTGTAAGTTCATTCAGGTACATATTTATTCTTATACAAGCCCTGCGATAGACACCAGGGTGTACCCCACCTATCACCCTGAACTGAAAGCAGAAGAAGGTGGATGGATGGACGGGTGGATGGATGTGATGGATGGATGGATGGATGGAATTATATGTACAAAAAGACACATTTTCACGATGTGTTATTTATCTATGTCTTTGTTTGTTTGTCCATCCACACGGATAAACGATTTCTCCTTGCTGATTTAATTACCCTGAGATAACCGAGAGGTTTGATCAGACTTAACTCAGTTAATCCTGTTAAAACCTTCTCAGAAGTCTGTGACCTCGTCTCAGTGAAAGCTACACCTGCTAACATCTTCAAAATCGCTTTGGGGCGACGTGAGGAAGTCTGCATCCACGAAGAAACGTCGTACTTCCAATAATAACAACAACTGAATAAAGGGCACGTGTCAGTGCTACTCATTTGTATTCCAAAATCTGACTGAAATAAGATGATTTTTTAATGCAAAATAATTTCTCATGACATCAAAACTAATCAGCAAAAAAAAAAAAATCATCCACAATTTGAGAAATCAGTCGTTTCTTCATTCAGTCATAAATGTGTCTGAAGTCCCAGAAATCATTTTTTGCTTAGAAATAAAACATGTCACATGTGTAGCCCAGTTAGTTTTATTTAATTTTAGTTTTATTTATCCTACAATATGAAGAATAAACATTTACTTTTTAAACTCAGGGACAAACTTTTTTTAATTTGAGTCTTTGTCTCAAAAAACCAAGTGACAAACTTCACCCAAATAATCAGATAAAGTGAGTTTTAATTATGTATTTTATTTATTTCTAAGCTTGAACATGAAACCTTTGATCCTGAACTTTGAAGATAATTGTGTCTATTTTAGTTTGAAACTGAATAATAAAACAGAAGCAGAATTATTTTGTTTTAAGATGAGATAGATAAGATACCTTTATTAGTCCCACAAGGGGAAATTTTGAGGATATTAAATAAAGCGTCACGTTTTGTTGGTTTGGTTTGGTCTTTAAAGTTTCTCACAGCAGAGCTCTCTCTGTCTCTCTCTCTGTCTTTGTTGGAATCACAGGCTTTTGCTCCTTTTCAGGGCTCCTGGAGGAAACTTTAGCAGCTCAGTTTAATAACAGTTCCTTTTGTACTGACAGGTTTAATCTGAAAGACCCTCCAGGATCTACAAATGTAAATATAAAACAGGAACACCTTGGATGTGTCAGAGGACTCACCTGTGGTGCGCAGGTGTGCCGAGGCTGGATCAGAGACAGGAGTCTGTCCCCGAGGCTCTATATGTAAATGCCTGCTGTCCTTCACAGCTTCTCTCAGCCAATCAGGTGACCCAGCGGTGAACTTTGACCAGCCCTCAGGACCTCCCTCCCACTTTCTTCACCTACAAACCTCCACGCGCAGACAGATGGACAGAGAGACAGAGACAGACTTCAGTGAATGAGCTGACTGAGAGGATTGAAGCTGGTTATCCTCGGTCAGCACAACGAGGCTGGATTAGACCGACGGACGTGACAGAGTGAGGAGGTGCAGGGAACAAAACGTGCTTTCAGCCTGTGTTTTACCTCACGTTATCTCTTTTAACCCATTCAGCTTTCATCAGCTTTACACATTTAAGGTGCTGAATTATTTCTGTCAGGGCAAATGTATTCATGCAGTTCAGCTCATGCAGTGGAAGGTTTTGAAAGTGATGTAAAATAAGGATGAGCATTAACAAAATAAGTTAATGACTGATAATAAAAAATAATCTTTATTATAAGATTTATTATAAACATCCTTTATTAAAAGTGTTAATTGATTACTTTGGAGTTTAATTGTACATATTTGTTTTTGCTTGATTTTTTTCTGAGTAAAAAAAAATGCCATGCATAAATGCATAGACTGTATCTAAAAGATGGACTCAGCCAAGGTGGCTCCATTTAGGAGCCTCAGTTTCAGCATCACGGTGGTCAGCATCTTATTTTGTTCACTATTTTTTATAGCTACATTTTATCTCCGTGTTCGGACCCAGGAATGGCCGATGACATCAGACAGATAATAAGCAGACAGTGGTTAACGTTTACATTTAAACTAAGCCAATGCTCCTTTAACCATGTGATTTATGGAGGACAGAAATGAGGCAAAAACCTAAATCTGTGTTTAACACATGTATAAATCATGCGCACAACGACAACAGAACAAGCTTTTTAAAACAGGCCATTCATTTATTTACTTTATTGATAAACTAATGTGTATAAAGTGCTTTTCAGTTCAGATTCATCAAAGTTCTTCCACTTTTGTAACACTTTTGTAACACAATCAAATCTGTCTCGCTACGTTTCAGGTTGGGTTTACCTCACACTCCCTCATCAGAGACAAATTATTATATTTCACAGTCTTTGGTTTTGAGTGTGAAACTAAAAGAAAACACGTTCAGACTTTTGATAGGGACTGTGTGTGTGTGTGTGTGTGTGTGTGTGTGTGTGTGTG